CGTCGCCTTTTTTTCTAAACATACATTGCTGCAATAGATTACAATGTAGGTAACTGCAGTACAATAACTAAGTACTTATTTTTGTTCAATTGCCTATGTTGGTTGGTAGTTCGCTACAGAACAATGCTGTACACGTTCGTGACTTCATCTTTACTATATCGTTGTAGCTCACAGGAAGATACAAATTACTCGTCTTTTGTTAAGAAAATGCAAATTATCTTTCAAACGTTGTCGGACATACAGTATGATTGTTCACACATATTAAATACCTTGTAATTTTTAAATTGCACTCTAACAATGGGTAACTAAAACGTGTATAATATTTGTTTTTTTTTTAAAAGCAATGTTTCAGGGGGCCTACCACAACCTCTTAAAACACTTTACTTTAATTTTACATTGACTTTTCGTACCATAACGCGTTTAAACAACTTATTTGTAATGTTAAAACTATGATGTTTTATTGGCAGCTTTGTTTTTTTTTATTCAATCAGTTCGTACTATGACGCGACTTTGACATTAAAGTAATATTGCGCTTATGTCAAATTTAGCAATCTTAAAATAGTTATACGGATGCAATGGAATAGTTATTTGTTCAACAAGAGAGCAAAGTCGTTTTTTGGTGCGAGTGCTGTTTTTGAGTCCTGAGCAAGCGAAAGATTCTATAGTTGAATCACGAGCGTAGCGAGTGATTCAGAATTAGAATCTTGAGCGAAGCGAGGGACTCAAAAATACGAGCTGCAAAATAACTTTGCTCTCGCGTGATACATACAACTTTTCACCTCAGCAGCGAGAACATATATATATACTAAAGGGACAAGTAATAAAAACACGTCATGAAAGCAAATGCATCATTGTATATTTACAAAAATACAGAATTTACAAAAAATTAAAAGTGGAACGTGAAGTTTGTACAATTCTGTAGATTAAAAGTTACTGTTTTATTTGGAACAGTAATCGTCGTAGTGTTTGCTACTTGAGTAGTGGTCGAGGTTTCATTATGAGTTGAGCTGGATTGTGACCCTTCCCGCACCGTAAAAGTTGGTGATTCTGGGCGGGTTTGGGTATGATTCGCATCACTGGAGGTGCTAGGTTGTGCCCAAGAATGCGAAGTCTGTTTTAGGTTTATCGAATCTATAATACGCTTACAGATTTTTGATTTATTTTCTATTGAATCTTCGATATATCCTTCAGCCACTGTATTTGATCTCCAACCGCCATAGCGCTTCAACGTTGTGAGGTCAGCTCCTCCATCTGCCAAAAGAGTGGCTGATGTTCGCCTGAAGCAGTGGCCAGTGTATAGCTGCGGCTCTTTCAAATCTAAAAATGTTGCGATTTCTCGTGCAGTCGCTCCTATTTTATTAATACCCATCGGTTGCCGCGTACATTTTCCATTACGATATTGTATGAAAAAGCGGTCTGTGATCGTATTGGGAGGGCGCAATGCTTTATATTTCTGGACAACGTGTGCGTATTCCTCACGGACGACGAACGACCTGTCTATATTTGTTTTCGTATTTGGCAGGTTAATCAAAAGAAGGTCGCTGGAATGTTGTTCAATGGCATTAGGAGTTAGATTCAATAACTCGTTGGAGCGGCATGCTCCGTTTATTCCAATGATAAGGATGACCTGAAACATAAATAAAACGTCAATAAGTATTGTGTCTTTTAGAGCAGTCTTAAACGTGGATTTCTCATAATATGTAGCGTTATTTTTAACCATAAAGTTCCAATACAAGTCGCCAAAACAACACATTTAAGTAGGTAAGTATAATTATGTTGATAGAAATTGATAACATAACTACCAAAGTCCAAATTGTATTAACAATTAAAATATAACGCTACGACAACAGTAATAATATTCAATACTTACTTTTGCGGCTAGGAAAGTGCAATCTGGAGCTTCATTAAGAAATTTTTCAATATTAGCAGCCGTGAAAACTTTCGATTTTTTTGATTTGTGGCCGACGGCCGATCTTTTCAAAAACGCAATCAGCTTTGCGTAAGTGTTTATATGGACGTTATTTTTAGTTTGTAATGTAGCTTTCAACATCGAATATATACTCCACATCGTTGACGGCTGTTTTGTATGCGACATTTCAATGAAATAAGACAGAAGCACAGTTTCCGACATAGTGTTTCCTGCGCCCTTTTCGTGCCTCCATTTGTCAAAATGTTCGTAGACTTTCAGGTACTTTTCACGAGATTTACTAGGCAAGAAACTTAGTTCAGCATTTTTAACAGTTTCAACTAACTCTGGAGGAGTTAAAAAATTGTCGTCTTCACTGGAATCGCTCATATTTTCTATTTTATTACGTAGGTAGGTATCCAATTAACTATCAAAGAAGTACCTATCGCAAGCAAATAAGAAATTTTGAATTAAAAAAAAAAGAAAGCGCGCTTTTATTTATTGCGTTCCGGAACGTTCTCGCTTGTATTCATTGAAATCACACATTGTAAATATTGTTATCTTTAATTGACGTTATAAATTTAGCATATTTTTATTGCAACACTTGCTTTATTTTTAATGAAAATTGTAAAAACTAAATTATCATAGTATAAAATCGTATTTGTATTTCTCACATAATTTATCTTTTAGATGAATTGACGAGTTTCCGAACGTGCACTCGTTCAGCCATTTTGTGGGGGTCTACTATGTAGCTTAAATATCGAAGTACGAATAAACCATAATTTTCTTTTTCCTTTTTCTTGTAATGAAGTGAAAGGGACGGAGCGACTGATTTTGAAATATGTCGAATTTGTATTAGACCCCTTCGCATTAAATGACAAGTCTCCACTTAAAAAGCAAAAAGCTACTTTTTCTCACGGAGTGAGCAAAATAAGATTTTGCTCACTGATTTCACACAGCAAAATAGCCTTGTTCGAGCTGCTGAGGTGAAAACAATATTATTTTCAGTTTTAATGTCTTAATATTGATTTGTAATGATTAAAAGTTAAGTTGAACTTTTTTATTTACATATTCTCTCCAATATTTTGTTTATTTTCTATTTAATAGCACTTAGGAAATAATTTCTCGTAAAATAAAAATACGCGATGTTTATTTCGTAAAACTATGACAGCGCCATCTATATGCTCCTTGGCGAAACCAACAGTTGACACTAGACTATGGTTCCGAATTCACATCGTGACTATCAAGACTCAGCTTGTTTTATTTATTTTTCTTTATGAAAATGCGGAATTATAATTGAAAACAAACGTAAATTTTAATAGATTTCATTATTACATACTTTTCTTTTTTTGGCAGTTAAAATTCTCTGAATGTAAATAATTCGGAACATCGAAAAAGAAAGAGATGGCATTATACAGTTCATATAGCGTTATTTCTTTCCTACTTTTAGTAAGGAATAGACAATATTGGGAAATCATTCGTTCTTTCAGTCACTTTAGCAATAATATATTACTTGGTTGATAGGTTTGTCATGGTACGAAAATGATTAATATTACAATAAGCTTACTTTATGCTTACATTAAAATAAGATTGTTTTTGGAAAGGTTATGGTAGGCCCCCTGGCCCTTTACTAGTCCTACCGGTTTGTTTAAAAAAACAAAAAATATAAGTACGCAATTTAGATCCGAAAAATAGTTTTATTTCCTATGTATAACAATCGCGCAAACGTACTATACATAGGATAGGTAACATATCTAAAAAATATGTAACATTTAAAGGTGACTAGAAGTGTCAAAAATGTGTTTTTTTATTTATTTTATACTTGAACATATGTTGCGCAGCTTTCTTGTTATATAACGGCCAATAAACATGAAAATAAATACTGATCTGCTTCGCCTAAATTAAAACCTAGACATAAAAAAAACATATTTTAAAATAGTTTGTCGTAAATAAAAGTTAGATTGCAGATATTATTTTTATAAGCACCCTTTTTTCCGTACATGTATCTCTTTCGTTTGTCCACTTGTTCTTACACTCTGTAAATACATACGACCATGTAATACATAAATATATTAGAATAGGTTAAAAAATAAATAAAAGCCGTGGTGGCCTAATGGTTTGACCTACCACCTCTCGAACAGAGGGCATGTGTTTGAAACCGATCTCTGAACTATTCGGTGAAAGAAAACATTGTGCTGATACCTGCATGTCGAATAAGATTCACAGGGACTTGTCATTATGTCTCAGGATGACGGCCGCAGTGTCAGAGTCCCTCAGATCTCTGCCAGAAGTAAATAAGAATTAAATTTAACCTAACTTTAAATGTAACCTGGTCCTAAATAAACAAATAAAAGGGCGTACGACATGTTCGTCCCATCACTTGGTATCGTGAACAAGACCAGTACCCAGCAGTGAGATATATAAATGGTTTGATGAAGATGATGATAATTAAAGTAGGTACAAACATGTTGACGTGTATAAGGTTGTAATCGAAAATAATTCGATTTTGATAGGTAGCTACATTTGTAATCTTAGTTATTTATCGCATTATCGCAGCCATAATTTTACTATAGAACACGTGTTCTGTTGACGTTAAGGCACCGCGCGCACATAGAGGACCACAAACTACAGCTTATGCTCATCGTGTGCCTTGATTAACGAACACGTGTGTGACCTGACTATGTGAACAGCGGATATGATCGTCCAATTTTCGTTCCTCATCGATGATTTACGAAGAAAAATATTTTACTTCTCCACGAATTAATTGAACAATGTCGTTGGTCACAGAATGCGTGCACAATCTTGACTGGAATAGAACTTGATCAAATAGCATCGTAGGCCTTAGTCATCCTATGTGTCAAGTACTTTATTGAACGCGATCGCGCTATTCTTTGTAATTACAGATATCTATTCTAACATATAACCTACCCACTCTGTTTTGTTATTAAGCTGACTATTAATAACACCTCAATAAATACGGTGACTTCAAAACCTTATAGACACTATTTAACGCAGTAGATACTATAAACACAGATAGATTTAAATTTACCTATATATGTCCAAATTGCGCTAACTTATCTTAATTTGTTTCCAGGCGCAAGAAAATAAAGGATTCGAGTTTTCTCCGGAGTCTCAACCTACAGAAGAAGCACCTCCACCATTTGATACCATACGAAATGATATTTCATCATCAGCCATATCAAAAGGCCCTGTCGTACCTCCATTCACTAAACCTGATAAAGGAAATGAAGAGGTAGGTAGGTAGGTAATTAAAACACCGACAATGCGTAAATACCTATCGGATTTACTATTACTTTTAACACAATTAAATTTTATTTTGTTTTACGCTTTAATGTTTATTGTATTTAATAGATTCTCAATTTAATCTATGAAGGTCTTGCTAAGTTATATTAATTTCTTTGTACTTATGTTTTATCGTTTAAGACTAAATAATTAGTAAACAGTTTAAAATTTCACAACTTTCAGACCGACCTTGAAGATGAGCAACCGGAGAGAGCTATGTGGAGTAACCAAATGGAGTTCCTTATGTCGTGTATCGCTACATCTGTCGGGCTTGGTAACGTGTGGCGATTTCCCTTTGCTGCTTACGAAAACGGAGGCGGCGCCTTCCTTATACCTTACATTATTGTACTATTTCTCGTCGGAAAACCTATGTACTACCTCGAAGGTGTATTAGGGCAGTTCAGTTCAAGAAACTCTATTAAGATTTGGTCTTTATCTCCTGCAATGAAAGGTAATTGAAAGTTACTGTTACTTGTTGTGCAGGTACAAACATTATTTATTGCTTATTTACTCACATGTTGGAATTAAATATAATTTTTAACCGATTTCAAAAAGAGGAGGAGGTTTTTATTTCGACTATACGCTTTTTTGTATGTATGTTACGCGATAACTCCGGTATAGCGTGTGGCACGGCATGCTAGAAGACGTCGGTTGGAATCCGACCGGGTCGAAGGAATTTTTTCTGAGTGTTAAAAAAAAACTATGTTTCTAATTGTTTTAAAATAATAATAACACCTGAATCTTTTTGCTAAATCATGGTCAAATTAATAATAAAGTATATAAGAGTTATATTATAAGTATTAAAAAGATATAAGACATAAAAACTTATTTTAAATTTTCTCTAATCTCACTTTTATGTGATACGCCCTTGTTACACCCAATGCTTCAATTCACATTTTAATAAATGGGTGCAGTCAATTCATAAAAAGCTATCTTTATAATAATAATAATAATAATGTGTTATTTTGCGCTAAGTCACATCGAAATAGATTTGCACAGGTATAGTCTAAATTTCAGGTACCGGGTACGCACAAGCAGCGGTGTGCGGTTTTATCCTCTCATACTACGTGTCTATCGTGGCTCTCTGCGTCTTTTATTTGGCTATGAGCTTCCAGGCTACCCTGCCATGGAGCTATTGTCGCGAGGGGTGGGAAAACTGCGTACCCTCAGCGCCAACTGAAAATGTCGTCATCACTAATGAGTCTGCTAGCAGTGCGGAGCTTTACTTTAAGTAATTTTCCATTACTCTTTCTTTGAACTAGTATTCAATTCTACTAGGCTCAACTCACATTGGCGCTGAGTCGAAGCGTCGCTTCGTGCCCTGTTTTTCAACCACAACGCATGGCAACGCCACTCGCATTATCATGCCTGGATCACAGTGTGGTCGGCGTCTGACGCGTCACTGCGCGCAAGTAACTTACGACGATACGCGAAACCGCTCGACTTTAACCAAGCGCGATTCCATCATCATCATCCAATTTGAACCTTAATAATGGGATAAAATAGAGAGATGAATCTGCTATAGTCGAAAAACATGACGCGTCGCGGCGCTTCGACTCTGCACCAGTGTGGGTTGAGCCTTAGTCTGTTTCGCACAGTCAACACTAACATCGTTCCTATAGTAATAATTAATATGAAACTGAATTATAATCTTAAGTATAAAGCCCGTGCTATTGATTGTACACTGGTGCTCTTTATTAGTGTGATTTGACAGTATTTACATTGTATTTTAATGTTACAGAAATATTGTGCTTCGGCAAAGCGACGGGATTGAAGGTGGTCTCGGTAAGTTCATGTTACGTTCTAAGATCAAAAAGACTTGCTTATACAGAATATAACAAAATAACAAACAATACTCATCAGCAAAACTTAATTTTCGATGAACAATTGAAATAATGGTCGAAAATTAGTGTTACACTGGATACTTGTTGATACCTCCGTGGTTGAGTGGCTTGCACACCGGTTTTCATGGTGTCACCATCTCTGAGGTCCCGGTTCAGTCCCTGGCCAGGTCAATGTAGAAAAAACTAACTTTCCTATATTTTCTCGGGTCTGGGTGTTTGTGATACCGTCGTTGGTTCCCATTTCCGTATCACAGGTGCTTTAGTTACTTACTTTGGAAACGGACCAACGTATGTGATGTTGCCTAATATATATTTACTTAGAACAATAGCTCGATGTTTACTAAACTAATAATTTTGATTTATTAATAATCATATTTATAACATAACACTAGCCCTATAACAATAGATTATTAATGAATGACATAAAGAAGTATAACCATTTCCCAAATGACAACAGTGCATTATTTTTGGACTATTAGTATCTGATACTTACGATGATTACTAACACAAGCAAGCAAAAAACACTTATGTCATGCTTCCAGGTCTTCCAATTTGGTACCTGACGCTGTGCCTGTTCGTCTCCTGGGTGATAATTTTTCTGATTGTCTCTCGCGGTGTAAAAAGTTCTGGCAAAGCTGCTTACTTCCTAGCGATTTTCCCTTACGTGGTTATGATTATTTTGCTCATTACGTAAGTCTCTTTAAAAATTATTTTTTCAATTAAATTTTATATGTATATTGTATTGAATGACATTTGTACATTTGTACATTTGCCTTCCTATTAAAACTACATTTATGCAGAACTGGGAGAACACAAGGTCCGAGCACGCCAACGTTTGCCTCCAAAACAAATATAACATAAGTCGTTATAGAACGAATCAATTAATAAAAAGGTCCGTCTATATTTCTGCTGGTGAACATGACAACCAAAAAAATTAAGCAAAAAAATTAAAATTTCTTAAATACAAATTTTGATTCCTGTGTATAATGTGCGAAATGTAAATTAAACAGAAATGTTTGCTCAAATTGTTTAAGAGCACTCACCAACTAATTTATTGTGGAGCCTTTTTGTTAAAGCTTGTGTATACTTATTCTATAAAACAATTGATAAATTACAGAAATCACATAAGACCGTTCACACCTCTAAATAATGTTATTTGCAGCACGTGTACCTTGCCTGGAGCTGGTACTGGTATCTTATTTTTCCTGACGCCGCAGTGGGAAAAACTCCTTGAACTTGATGTAAGTGTTTTCTGTTAGTATATGTTGTTGATTTGTTTTGTCTATTCATATACTGTCCATAATTGATATCAGGTTTGTTCCAAGTAAAGATTTTTTAATTCAAACGTAAGTATTCCAAGATTAATAAAATTTAATGCAATTTGTTTTGCAGGTCTGGTACGCAGCGGTAACACAAGTATTTTTCTCTTTGTCTGTGTGCACGGGAGCTATCATTATGTTTTCATCGTACAACGCATTCAGAGCCAATGTCTACAGGTACTTACGTTTTAAGTAACTATATATATACTACAGTATATAATGGAAAGTAAATTAAATTAGTCGCCTTTTTGTAAGTAGATACTAGATAATAAATAAATAATTTATAATGTCCATAAAGTAACGTAAAAAAGATACAACTAACTATTTTACAAAGTGTACTTGTGTTATCTATAAAGCAACACGTCACACACATAATGTACATATAGTAATAAAAAATATCATTTAATCTTCTTAACAGAGACGCCATGATAGTCACTACACTGGATACATGCACAAGTCTCCTGTCCGGTATCACGATATTCGGTATACTGGGCAATCTGGCGTACAATCTTGATCAAGATGTAGACAGAGTGATAGTAGGTGGCGGCTCGGGAGTCGCTTTTATTTCTTACCCTGACGCTATTGCTAAAACGTTCCAGCCACAAGTAAGAAACATTCTATTTACATTTTATATATACCTACTAAATATCACGCGCACACACTCATACCTCGCACTAAGGAAACCCTGTATCGCGGGTGTCATGGACACACATAGATAACCACAAATTACACCCAAACTCACGAGGGAAATAAATGTAGGCCATACAAATATTTCTCCCGGCACGGGAAACGAACCCGGAACCTCTGCGTGGCAATCCGACATGGTAACCGTTCGGCCACTTTTGTAGTTTTCTATGTGTGTGTCCATGGCACCCGCGACACAGGGTTTTCCCTAGTGCGGGGCTATGTTGAGTGTGTGCGTTATTATATTATTATTATTATTGACCCCTAAAAGTTATCTAATAGTGTAAAGCCACTGCTTTTTTTAACAATTGTGTTGGTACTTTGTTTCATATTTCTTTCACCCTTACTGTGGAATTTCTTTCTTACTTATGTAAAAGAATTCAACGAGGCGCTGATACAGTTGTAATTCGTCTCCATTCATACAAAAGACTGAAACGAGTTGTTGTTACAAATAACATGCATCTACGATTAGACTACAACGAACCCTTTCTATAGAGTGACAACTCTGTCGCCACGTTTAAAACAGGCTTTTTAGAGACTCACATAATTTATGAAAAGTTATTCAATATCATGTGTAGAGAGATCCCTATGAAGTTTCAGACCTACTTAATGCGCGTCGCAAAAACTATTCCCGTAAATACATCCCTGATATGTAGTTATACATTCTCCTGCCTGTTTTTAACTACGGCAACTGCTTCTCTCTCAACTCTGCTGTTGGTGGCGCTCGTGCGCTCTTATTTGATTGACGTAGCCATTTTTATCAGTAAAGATCTATATGCACAGTGCACATGAGCACACCGTGATATAGTGGTAACTGGTCGCCACAGGTGGTAGAGCTGTTAGCTTGTCACATGTGAAGTCTAACTCAATTCGTCGACGGGTTTGGAATTGTGATGTTTTGTTTATTATAAAAGATCTTCACTTGGGACGATTAGCTGCCTGCTTCTCCCACTTTGTTGTGTCAATGTCGCAATTTTTCATGTGGCGCATAAGCACATCTTTATATCTAAGAGCGGTTACACACGGCAACTTTTAGGAGCAATGCAAACGCGATGCATACGCGTTACAGTAGCGTTGCAAACGCATCGTATCGCTGATCGTCTACCTTTACACACGCGCGCGATTATAAGCTGCGATGCAGTGCGCGACTGCATTGATACAAACGCGCGATTACATCGCTGCTCTTGGGAATTAAAGACGATTGCATTGACGCAGTCGCGCGTTTGCATCGATGAAATCGCCTGTAAATCGTAAGTGTAGCGATGCAAACGCGGGTTCGTGAAACGCGCGTTTTACGCGTGTATAACCCTCTAAGAAGTTGTCCACCATGCTTTCGAATTTAAGTTCCGAAAAGATGTGCTTTGCCACTCGCCCCTCCGCCATTCTTGATTCATGCCCGCCTCATGCAACGAAGTTGTCGTCGCATAAGATATACCTCAATTCTACCTACTTTAGCTCTCCGCAAAACTTTAGGCAAGCGGTCGGACCAACTAGTGATTAGTATTTTACGAAGGCATTTCAGGTGAAATTGGTCTAAAATGCGGATATGGCTTACACAAATTAGCGAGTCATTGTCACAGTTCAAATTTTCTTTCCAGCTGCTCTCAGTGCTCTTCTTTCTGATGATGGCGGTGCTAGGAATAGGCTCCTCGGTGGCTTTACTATCTACTATCAACACTGTTTTGATGGACTCTTTCCCGCGCGTGCGCACCGCCTACATGTCCGGTTTCTGCTGCACAGTTGGCTTCGGTGTTGGACTTATTTACGTTACTCCGGTATGTAGACAGACATAGAAGTTATTAAGGCATATTCAAGCATTATTGAAGAATTCTATATTTTAAGGAAAGTATTCGGTGCCATAGACAGTCACTCTATCAAATTTCAGTTGTAGTTTTGTAATACCTTGTATGGTGTGTGTACTGCAAATAAAAGACTAGATAATAATAATAGACCACTTATAAAAGGGTTTACAGCTTAGATCAACAAATATTGTATGTAAAATTTGTGGAAATTCACATAAAAAAAAAACCTCTCATACCTATTCATTCTTTTTGAAATTTAGAATATAAATAATCTTTTTTATTACATTACTGACATACGTTTTAGGTTTCTAACCTAAGATCTGTCAAATAAGATAGTATAATTATAACAAACTAATGGAGTAATTTCACATAAAAAATAATTGACTATCAATTCATTAAAAATTTAAAGATAGTATAAGTTAAATGAATTGACAGTTGACGAAACAACACGAAATATCTACTTGTAATTTCAACTAAGGAATAATATAAAAAAAACACAAACCATACTTCAAAAGTAGATTTAAAAGTTCTTTGTGATCATTGATTCCAAAAAAATAATCTCGCTAGGAATTAAACAGAATTAAGATAACATTTCCTTGCGAATCAATTAGTTAAGCCTAGCAATTACGAGTGGACTGGTGTGATATTCTCGAATTGCAGAATGTCACTTAATAGAATACGTATTTCAGGGCGGTCAATTCATCTTGGAGCTGGTGGATCACTATGGAGGCACCTTCTTGGTTCTCTTCTGTGCTATTTCTGAAATCGTTGGCGTCTTCTATATTTACGGTAACTTCTGTTTAAATTAGCTTGATTTTAAACAAAACTTAATTATACTTATTGTTCTAAATAGTTATAATTTAAGCTACTCAAACTGTCACGTTATTAAATTGACGTCTATGAATGACATAACTTATTCCAATACATAGATTTAGTATATAGGTACTAAATATATGTTCCAACAAGAACTTTTAACACATATCGCTAAGCTCTTAATTAATAATTTCAATAGATATACTGTCCTAACAAAATATACAAGAATGTAGAGATTGTATATTGCTATTATTGATTGATTTGATTGATGATTGTATGTTCTATGTATAGGCGAAGGTGATAGAATATTTGACTGAATATTATTATTGATTCAATTACCCACACGAACATGTTGAAAATTAATCTGAAACTCTTTTTTCGATACCTAAACTATCACCAGAGTAGAGGTATTAGTGGAGCATTCTAAATGCTCCGTCGTTTTTGACAAATGTTAATTAGTATGTATAACATCATTACAGTTGTGAAATCAGAGTGCATCAGGGCTCAAGTGTGTTTTGCTTTATGATAATATATGTAGTGATATTCGCACTGCCTACACGGTGGGTATTGTACAAGATATGAAAGCGGCGGCGATGGCAGTGGAGTGCAAGGCGAGATTACGAGCATAAGGTGCTGACCCCTCGTCTAAGCATAAAACGTACAACCGACATCTGCTGACTTTTTATCAGTGACGGTTGGAGTACATTTTTTCTCCATTCAATGCGCTACTATCGCTTACCGAACGACGAAAATCGATTTTGGTAGGCAAAAATCAACAATTAGACAGCATATTTCTCTTTAACTGCCACATTTTTTTGAAAGGGCGCACGTGACATTATTTAAAAAAAAATTGTTATGTTATACTGCGGCGATTAGTGACAAAAAAGGTCGAACTGTCACTCTTTTAATTTTTTCCTAGGTGTATAAGGTACGAAGTTACCGCACGAGAAAAGAGATATTATTTTAATTTTATGTCTTTAAACATTACATAGGGCGCAGTATAAGTTTCCGGAACTGGCCACTTACATAAACAATATTTAAAAAGTAATTACAACATTTCAAAATGGCACTCTTTAGCTGTAGAATACAGTTTGTTTCATCTGACTGCCGCTTGTTTTTACATTGTGGCGTCATTTTAGAAATTGGTTGTCTACATCACCATGGATTTATCTTGTGAAAATTTTCGTAGTATGATTTTCTACGACTTTAAGTGTAATTTAACAGCGCAGCGGAGCTTCGCACGGCTTCAAACCGCTTTTTTTTTGCTTGGCGATGAAGCACCATGCAAGACGACTATTTATAGCTGGTTTACAGAATTCAAACGCAGTCGTGTGAATCTCAGTGACGAATTTCGTGATGGTCGCCCGTCCACTGCTGTGAACAACAAAAACACCGATGCTGTGCGCTGTATGATCAAAACAGACAGGCATGTGACATACCATGACATTCGGGTGTCATTAGGCATAGGCATGAGTCAAATACAATCAATAATCAACTACACAAACATTTGGGTGTGAAAAAGCTGTGCTCTCGGTGGATCCCACACAATTTGAAAACGGATCGCGTCACTTGGTGCGATGCCATGCTTACCAGATTCAACGAAGGGGCGTCAAATTTGGTGTGGGACATAGTAACAGGTCATGAAACATGGACTTATAGTTACGATCCCAAATAAAACAGCAATCGAGCGTATGGGTATTTCGAGATGAGCCAACCAAAGTGGCGCGCGTGTAAAGTACCTCTAGGCGGATGTTTGCTTCTTTTTTTAATAAAACTGGACACGTTGCTACTGTTGCTTTGGAGAATCATTGAGACACAATAAATTAATTTCTGAGCATTTATAGTATTTTTTTACATTCATTCCGGAAAGTTATAGTGCGCCCCACGTATTTTCTCGGTTTTGATTTTTTTGTCACTAACGCCCATTCAGCTAAAGCGGCAGTTAAATCTGATACCTAGTAAGCAAACGAAGCTTATATTTAGAGTATTTTTTTCTTTTCTACTTACTATTATGTCCGCTTTTTGTTTTACTTTCATTCTAGAACAACAAGTGGAAAGAAAAATAATTTGCTTATTATGTATAACCGTTTCTTCTAGGATTGGAAAACCTGACTCTTGATATCGAATTCATGTTAAACATCAAGACATCGGTATTTTGGAGGTTCTGTTGGGGCATTATAACACCCCTGATAATGGGCGTGGTCTTCGTATATGCGCTCGTATCTTTCGAGTCTGTCACATACGGGGAATACACTTATCCTGTCGCTGCAATCGGTATGTACCTTATTTAGTGCCGCACTTCTGATCTGTAACCAAATGTTCCCGTTGCACCTTTTTCGTTTTGTGTGGTTTAAATCTTCTTCATATAAAATGTGTTCGGAATATTATTTTACATAAGTCTATACCTACAATTGCTACAATAGGACACATCTTTTGTAACCGACTACCACACCAATTATTTGTACTCAAACTAGGGAATTTTCTGTATTATGAGTGCCAAAGCATCAGAATTCAAGCCAAGGCAATAACCAGAACAACCAGAGCAGAGCCAATTTAGAAAAGTTAATTTCCCCAATTGGTCTTACTGGGAATCGTTAGGATCGTTTGGGGAAATTAACTAAGGTCGTTAAATATTATACAAACAATACATGTTTACCGCTTAAAACAACTATGTCTATTGTTTCAGTGGCTGGATATATAATGTTGTTCTCTGGAATAGCACTTGTACCCCTTTTCATCTTCATAACATTGTTCAAGTACCGAACCGGCAAATTCGTGGAGGTAAATTTTCTCATTTTTAGAATTCTTCATCTAGAATTTTACTAGTACCAATTATCATTTACAGATTTGTACTTAGTCATAACATAACATACTTACCTTGTGTTAACCTTATTATATTAGATTTATATTATTGTATTGAAGTTGGTTTGTAAATTTTAAGAAGGCATTTAAACTTGGACAAGTAATATGCCAAGGCGGAACCTAGTTCCCTAAATAGAAATATTTCTACAAATGCGGAAGTAGAATGATACAAGTATGGGTAGATACTCGTATAATATTAATATTACTGTTATTTTATAGACTGTGAAACGTGCTTTCAAGCCCAAGAGCAGTTGGGGTCCCAAGACGCAATCAACCCGCAGAGAATGGATAGCATTCAAGGAAGTAGCCAAAGAACAACGTCACATGAAAACCAACTCTAAACTTCTGCACATATGGTACAGTCTTACCGGCTCATATAGAAAAGGACTTTAAAGAAATTCTAAGGTTGTAATATACTGTGTAAATGTAAACTCCGACAAAAATAATATTTTAGTTCAGATAGCAATTCAGTATAAATGATTACCGTTGCTGCATTTTTTGTCTTTTATGTACATACGTTATAATGTTTTAAAATCAATTTAATTGTAACGTTACAATACATCCCATTTATATTTATAAACCATCGTGGTTATCGATTAATTAAAAGTATCTGTAAGGAAAACAGTGAGTTAATTAATTAATTCGTAATAACGCCGTGTCGTTTGTAGGTTGACAAATTAAGCGTATGTAGGTTTGTAAAGTAAACATAAGTGGTTTCATACATCACAGTTGAACGATTTTTAAAAATAAATCTTACAATGGCCATTAGCTATTATGTCCATTGTGGATTCGACCTTTCCCTATCAGAAACCGCGTGGTTCTGCGGTATACTTCGCATTACAGCGCCTGGGGTGCTATATGCGGATTCATACATACTCATAGAAAATAAAACTACGACTATGTGTTATCCGCCTAAAGTAACTTAACTATTCTATTAGTTTCAAATTCAACGTAATTGTGATTTTATGATTTATATTCTTTGTACAAAGTTAGGATGTGCGCGTATCAGTTACGTAACTGTTGCAATATATTGCTAATGTGTTTTACGTGCATACAAATGATTGTTTTGTAATATTAAACGATACATAAAGAAAATTCTCATGATTTGTTTTATTATTATGAATGATACGAAATAACAAAATACACGATTAACAAGAAAGAATACCAACACCACAGAAATACATCTAGATAGAACGGCGATGTGGGCGGGACACGTGTGCCGGAATCTTGTTAAAACACAAAATTTACCGAACGCTTCCTTCTCACCCCGATGTCTCTTTTAGGCCGCCCAATCTCTTGGGGGAACATGGTCAAATACCTAGGAGTTACGTTCGATAGGAAGCTGTCATTCAAAGCACACGTGAAAACCGTTCGTGATCGCGTCCACTTTGTCATGAGCCGTCTCCACCCTCTTCTCAACAAGCATTGTATACTCTCCCTTCGCAATAAGGTGAGATTATTCACGACTTGGATCCGCCCAATTATGACGTACGCCAGCGTCGTAAGCGCACAGGCGAGTCCCATGTGCCTGTAATTTCACCAGCACCCTTACCCCTCAAAACCGGAACACAGTAAAGCTAACATTAATGCTTAGCGGCAGAAATAGGTAAGGTGGCAGTACTACCCTGGACGAACTCTTTCACAAGGAGCTCTACTGCTACTAAATATCGATTTTGTATTAAATTAAAACCTATTAGTAATTTTTTTAAGTTTATTGAATGTCACGATGTTTGACCACCATGATATTGAATTCTTTTTGTGAAATTACTCCACTTTTTTTATTACTCCAATTAGTTTATAATTATTAATACAAAGATCGAGCATTTAGAAAAAATTCCTTCGATCCGGATGGAATCGAACCAACGTCTTCCAGCAAACCGTGCCAGATGTTATGCCAACTAAGCCACGGAACAAACTAGCGGACCTTACAAATCTTTGTATGTGCTTCTTGTAGTTTTTTGTTTTTGGTTTTTAATCTATTCGTGAAATCTATTTGTCATACACACTTGAAATTTGCCACAAGGGGGGTCTTGCCCAGAATACCAATTTGTTTAAAAAAGATCAAGTAATTCTCGAGGTATTAAATATAAACTGACTAAATTTACTTTGAGCATAATATTTCCGTACAAGTACTCCATGACTTATATTGTTTCTTCAGTGGTACCTAATCTTATTCTTGTCGTATCGATTTCATACATTATATTAGAATCCACTGAAAACCAGCATCATAGCCTTCACTCGGGTGTGATCTGAGAGGCACTGCCACTGCGCCCGTCACCCTGAGACATACGAGTAAGTTGACTAGTCCCATGTGCCTGTAATTTCACCTGCCAGTCAGCTGTGACATTAGCTGTGTGGATACGCCACATTTGCTCACATGACATTTTAATCAAATTGTGTTGACTGTTTCAAATTTGACGCCTTTCCATGCCTTTCCTTCGTTGTTTCTTTAACCGATTTCAAAAAAGCAAGAAGTTCTCAATTCGAATGTATTTTTCGTTTTTTTTTCGACAAAAAAAAATTGTGAACCGATTTTGATGATTCTTTTTTTGTTGGAAAGAGAATAATACCTCAGTATTGGTCTCCGTTAAATTTGAAGAAAATATTCCACTTCTAAGGGTGGCAAACTAGGGGATGCATCCGTTTTGAACACTTTTCGGTAACCGATTTCAATAAAACTTGGCAAATAGATGTAATTTCACGTGAAACTTGAGAGGTCGTTTTTTTAAATGAGTTACAATTATGGTATCTAGATTTGAAACGGACAGTTTATTGTTATTTTATTTCTTTTTTACTTTGCTTTGTATTTTTTTTACTTCCTTTCTGTGTATTTTTGTGTCACAAGTAGTAGCAGAAATGCTGAAGTGTGGGACATGTTTGCTGTCGTGATGAAAGGTCCTTAGTCAGTCGGCATATTGTTGCCCAGTTGTGTTGGAAAATATTGTTGCCCAGGATGCTTCTGGCGTTCAGGTTCATGATTAGTAACCGCCATTGCGTGGAGGCTTCTTTCGTGCACCAACAGTGGTACTTAATTTAAAAATAAAACGTACTTCTTTCTTTTCGTAAATGACAGTTGACGCTTTTAATGCTATAGTTATTTGGGACACGGTTTATGCCACGTATTTCAACCAGTAGAAAATTTGCTGTAAGAAATCTGCTATCACAAAAAATACCTTGTCTAGGTATTGTATCATTCTATTAATTATTAATATTATGTAATGTGTCATTATATTAATTAATAATATAATTAATATAATGATACTAATTTATGAGAGTGTCAGAAATTAATATCTTTGTGCCATCTTTTTCGATATACGAGTACTTTTTGATAAATTGCGTTAATTACTAATAAATTATCTATTTTGTTGTAGGTATTTATAACTGTTTCGAAGGCACGTTGTTGCAATTTCCTATTTGTAATTTTATAACAACTTTATGTATTTTTTCGTCATGTAGTTATTGCAAATGTTGAGAATAGAACTTCAATGTATTGTTTTGTAATTAAAATATTTTTTTGTGATGGACCGAGTGTAACTCATGGCCACTATCCCAACAACTTCTTTATAATGGGCTTCTAGACAAAAATAATGTCAAGTCAATTATTTTCTTTTTTTTTAATTAGTTGGGTAAAGTTGTCTAAGCACCACTAAGTATTACATACTATTTTTAGAATTAAATTACTGTTCTTTATTGCCTCGGTAATTTTATGTGCAATAATGATATTTCATTCATTCACTACCACGACGACGACGATTGATATTTAGTATGTTTTGATACTCAATCAATGTTATAACTTATAATCTTATTGCCAGGGGAATTAAATCGCGATACTGTAATTGTCTTCATGTTTTAGAATCAAATTCATTTTCTTTGTTGCGAAAATATTGTAATAACAATTTTATAATAAATGCATTGCCATCGCCATAGTAATTTGACGTTACCCAAGACATTTAGATAATTACCCACGTCCTCCAACTTAACATATAATAGATTCATTATACGTACAACATGTTTTAAATTAATAATAAACAAAAGGATTTTAAGTTTGATTTTTATAAGCACTACAAATACATTGTTATGATGTTATGATGGAAAATTTGATCACTATCACATAAGTATAATATCATTGACTATCACAATCTTTTTATATTTATGTAGATAAGTTTCAAAGAACTTTAAATGAAATTGGCATCCATTTAGATTTCATGAATTTGGCCCCTTTTTCACATAGGTATACGTGTATAACTGTACTGTGTTAAGTGCTTCCGCGGCCGAAAGGTTACCATGCCGGATTGCCACGCAGAGGTCTCAGGTTCGATTTCCGTGCTGGGAGAAATATTTGTATGGCCCACATTCATTTATCTCGTGAGTTTGGGTGTAATTTGTGGTTATCTATGTGTGTCCATGACACCCGCGACACAGGGTTTCCTTAATGCGGGGCTATAAGTGTGTGCGCGTTATAGTTAGTAGGTATATATAAAATGTGAATAGAATGTTTCTTACTTGTGGCTAGAACGTTTTAGCAATAGCATCAGGGTAAGAAATAAAAGGGACTCCCGAGCCGCCACGTACTATCACTCTGTCTACATCTTGTTCAAGATTGTGCGCCAGATTGCCCAGTATACCGAATATCGTGTATATTACCATATTATCGTGTATATTTACTATGCTACATTACTATAGTATATATATATTTTTTTTTTATTATAGTATCAAGTGGCGGGACGAACAAGTCGTGCGCCTGATGGTAAGTTACACGCCTGTCCATAGCAGTCGCAGTGCCACTCAGAGCTTTAAATCGCTAAGATCTGAGGGGCACTGCCACACTGCGACTGGGCCCGTCACCCAGAGACAAGAGTTGACAGACCCATGTGCCTGTAAATTTACTACTTACTAGCACCACTACCCTTCAAAACGGGGAACGCAGTAATGTTCTCATTACTGCTTGGAGGCAGAAATAGGAAACATGGCGGTACTTTCCTGAACGAACTCTTTCAAGGAGCTCTACTGCTACAAAGTGTTGATTTGAGAGTGTCCAAGATAACGTATTTTTTTAAAGAAGCCATGGGTGTAATATATCTATTGAATTAACATTAAATAGCATGTTCTCCGAAACGCCTAACCAGCCAACCCGTGACCATGGAGTCTGTAACCGTTCTAAAATATACAGAAATTAAAAACAAATCATACCATGGCAAGAAATCTGCGATTAATGATAATCACTTAATAATAATAGTAATAACATAGAAAAAACGCAACACACTCATAGCCCCACACAAGGGAAAACCCTGTCTCGCGAGTGCCATGGACACACACATAAACTACCATAAATTACATCCAAACTCGCGAGAGAAATAAAAGTACGCCATACACATATTTCTTCCGGCCTGGGAATAGAACCCAGGACCTCTGCGTGGCAGTCCCGAATGGTAACCGTTTGGCTACGGAGGCAGTTGATTATCTGTTTCATTCAAATTTTTGGCATACAATTGATTATAGATTGTAGATATGTTTTTTTAGATAACGCATTATTTTCGTCCTTGCATCTTTTTCGTTTGTTACATTCACTTGCTCTTACACTATAAACACATAATTAACTAAGGAGGTATAAGAGCAAAAACCAAGTATGTTAAAACACCGAAGTGTGTAAGGTTGTAACTGCCAAAGCTTCGAATTTGATATCTATATTTTAATCGTATTTATTTGCATATTATTGTAGGTATAATTTTATTATCATCGATGAAACATGTCATCTATTGATGTTTTGGCGCCATGCGCACCAGGCGACTCATCGCATTACTTCGTCGCTACGTAACTAACATTCAGCCACAGGACTGTGCCAAGCTATGTTGTTTTTTAAGAGCGTCTGTGGCCCTGATTAACGAACAGAACAGAACAGCGAATGTGATTAGCCCATATTTTATGAAACTACTTTTAGCATCTAAATCACGTATATTTGTTTTTTCAAAGTCAGTCAGCCGTGATCAATTTGGAACGTGTAATAGGCCCGAAACATTGGTGTGTTTGAAAAAAACAT